CCCCCCCCCCGGGCAACCGCCGGGCAATTGCTCCCGTTGTCAGTCCCGGGGGTGGGGCATTCACAATTTTATCGCGGCGACCCTCGGGCATTTGACACACGTGTTTTCGAAAGTGCCATGAATGAGTTCATCGGGAAAGACGAGGCGTTTGTCAAACAATGGCTTGTCCGTCAAGGACTAGAGAAACTTGTAGATGTTTTTAAAGGTATGTTTTCTCAATTTTAGATATTTCTTAATCACTTGTAAGCATATAAATATAAGGGACAAGGTGAACTATCACTGACGTGAACACCACTATTTCGCATTTCGCATTCAAAACTAGTCTAGCATCTTTTTAAATTCATGAAAGTGGTTTGCGAATTCAAATGATACGATCTTCAAGACAGATCTTCAAAACTGTTGAAAACAAAATATAAAGAAATAAATATAATCAAAATCAACTAACACCTACTGTTGTCCTTGAAGTCTTACCGTTGCATTAAAAGACTAAACAGTTGAATGTTTTATTCACTGATTAATAAAAAAAACTGCAGAGCTGTTGTAAGGCGACGATCCTGGGGGCTGGGCATTTGCTCTCTGTTTTCGTCCCCTCCCCGGGGCATTTAGACAGCTTATGTGTCCCCACCCTAGGGAATTTGCCCATTTTTTTAAAAAATGCTAATGCCCGGAGGTTAGCCCGGGGGGGTGGAGGGGGATGGGCACTGCTGGAATTGACTGATGCATTAAATGAGAGCGTTTCTTTTATTTATTATTTCTTCGAGTGCACTCTAAAGGTTACTTAGACAACTCAAAATGGTGACGTTTCGTCGTCAACACCTAAAGTGAGACCAGAATCCTTGATTTGTACCCGAGACGACGAGCATTCCCGACCTTTTCATATAGGAGTTTCACCCCGGATTTCGAACATAGCCGTCTAAGGCCCTTTTACAGTTGCTTGCGCCGTGTCAAATTAGTTATTTTTTTGAATTTCTGACGCAAGAACTCAATATCTTACTGCAGAAATGTTCTACAGTGAAGAAATTTTCGCACGTACGTTTTTAACTTGGAAAGTATTATTGTCCAAGTTATACTGGTGAAGCGATTTCACTCCTTTGCTCCTTCACTTGCTGTTAGACATTTGAAACATTTCGCACGACCGTCTTTATAAATAGGTACTACCTGTACGTAATCATATAAATAGCTCATTTCCCGAAAGTGCCCGCTGATACAGGTTTAACCACACTCGATTGCCGAAAAAGAAGACATTGAAAGTCACAAATTAAAATTGACGAGCTGCATGAATTTTCGAATGATTCAAGCCGTGATTAAATGTTTTAGACGATCAACAGTCAAGAGAATTGAGGAGAATTAGAGCGATGTGTTAACTTTGTTGAGCGGGCAAGACGCGGTGCTGTCCTTGTGGTATAGCGACTCTATGCTGAACGCATTGTTTTTTAATTTCCAAGATGACAAAAGGTTACAAAGAGAGAAAAAAAATGGCTGATACTGGCTGGGAAAATAAAGAACGAAAAATTGAGAGGAATGAAAATTAGAATTATTACTTGGTTTGGTGACCGGAAAAGAAGCGGTACTTTCTTTATAATTGTCTCGGTCTCTCGGACAAGGATAACTTGGTCTCTCGGACCGACAACTTCATGAATGATTAACATCTCCTCGTGTATTCTCTGACCGTTGCGTTTTGCACTATTTCTTAACAATGCCAGTGGGCTTTAACTTTAACTCAACGTACGGATTAAAACCCCAAGTCAGTGGCATCAAAATTGTCACTGTTTACAGGGTATCCATTTTCCAAGTTAAGTGGCTCATAGCCACCTTGATTATACGCATTTTTTTTTTACCTATATATTGACATATGAATTACGTTGTTCCATGAAACGTCCTGTCCTAATAACATTGAATTAGTCTGCAATGGAAACCTGGGCTTCAGCTTTTGATTTATTGATGTCTCACGATCATCTACTGGTATTTTTGCCGTCTTGTCACTCAAGATCGGACATAAACACGATTAAAGCATTATTTATGGTTGTGTGATAATAGGTTTTTGGCCTGGGAAAGCACTTCTGTAAAAACCTGGGGAAACTCTCTTGCTGCGGGGATCAGTACCGGATCTGTTACAGGGAAT